GGTGAGAATCCTGGCCACAGGAACCTTCACTTCATCCACAGTCATCAAACCTCAAAGTGGTCTTGGGGACTCCAGAACAGACTGTTGCCCTCCTCAGGCTGTGGAGCAGAAAGCCACTGTTTCCCTCTCCTGGGGAGATGGCGCCCACCTGCCTGGTTCTGTCAATTCTACAGACCAGGGCGCAGCAATCTTGGTAGAACCATGGTATTCCACCTGCAGTGGGCCCAGGGTGTCTAGGTGAGGAAGTTGGTGACCAGGAAAATTGCTGACTTTATCACAAATACATGAAAGGAAATGGGATACGCGCAGCCAAAATCCACACGGAGAAAGTACCAGTTCCTCTTCATCTGTACCCAGTTCCTACTTTACTTCTCAACCATTTGTCTTCCAAAAATGAGCTGATACCGCTTTTAACTAGATGGCCCCAGGTGGACACCACAGGACACCACGCAGCATCTGCACAGCATGTGCTCCAACCCATGGATGTCCACCCAAGGTCACTGCGTCTCCTGCTCATCCTGCTTCTCTATCGTCCACAGACCCCATGGATGGCAGCTGCAGAAGGGCCTCAGGAGCAGGCTCTGTGCAGAGGGGACACTGGGACCTCTGTCTCTGACTCAGTCACTCTGCTTGGCTTGGTTTGAGTCAGTGTAGGGAAGATGGAAGTTCCTATGGCCAGGATCCTCTCCTGACCCTAAACTACTTGATGTAATTGGCCTGCTGGCTAGGCTAATGCTTCCACGCCTGTAGGCAATGAGCTGTTACTGACTGAGTCACTACAGAAAGAGCTCTGCGGAGTGCTCTGGGCGGAGGCAGGGAGGCGGTGGATTACAGACCTGCAGACTGCTGGGTGCTGATGTGATTCTAGTGTTCGATCTACCCTCAGGAGAATAAAGCCAGGTATAAACCCTTTTACCCCAAGTATGTTCCACTGTCATTTCTTGGTCTCAGTGAATTCATAGTGAAACCCTCAGGCAAGACAGATTGCAATTTCTACAGAACTGCAAAAGAGGCTCCTCAAACTTCCCTTTTTTCTAATCAAGTAAGCTATTCTTGCTTTTCCAGTATGTGGTCAGAAAGAATGGGGTGGGAAGGCAAGCCACTGGCAGGATTCCAGGGCTCCAGGACCATGTGGCATTCACACATAGTGGGGTGCTGAGGGTCAGGGAGTCAACAAAGGGCAGGAAGTGTCCAGTGGAAGAGAGGAACCCTATTCTCCCTCCCCTCTGGGAGACATCATTGCCTTTGGGTCTCCTTGGCCTGAAAATCAGCTCCAGCGGCCGGGATACAACCCTGCCCGGGGAGAAGAGCTGGGTGGAGAGCCTATCCCAGTACTTGAAACGAATAACACCCAAATGTGTGTGTGTGTAAGCTTGTGGGGGTGTCAAACTGTGTGTATCTCTGAGTGTGTGTTTTGTACCTGTGTGTCCATATGGGGTGAGGATACCCATTTGTGTGTGTGTGCACACTTACATGCTAGGCATTTGAAACCAGCCTCATAGGCTAATGTTGAGAGGGACCGTACATATCTTGAATACCACATGAGGGATTTGCTTTATTATTCCTGGGGCAACAGGAGCTATTTAAAGTGTTTATAAGCAGGAGAATATTCAGTGAGGAAAATATTCAGTGCCCCTGCAGAGCCCAATCACCTGCTGTAGAAGACCTAGGAGAGCTGCCCCCAGCCTCTGACTCATTCTGCACAGCAATACTCATCCCTTCCAGTCTTGGGAAGGGCATCTCTGCACCTGATCTGTGTCACCACTAACCTTCCCATGAGGCTGAGCTGGGCTGGGGAGAGCTGCATCCTGTACCCCTTACAGCCCGTGAGCCCTGGCATCCTGGAGCTGCTCCATGCAGTCAGAGGAGGAAGCTGAATTCACCTGCTGAGCTTGGGTACATGTGCTGGGGGCCTGCAGGTGCAGAGTCAGTACCTGACTTTCCCAGACTCCACCCAGCATCTTGGCTGTGGTCCTGGGGGCTGAGGCCTGGAAGGAGCTCAGACCAGGTACAGGGACAGGACATCTAGGGCCACAGTTATGCAACATTGCCCATGGAGAGATGGGGGAATGGCGAGGGGTAGGGCTGTCCTCTCTCTCCCACAGACAGAATCAGAGAAAATGCTATATTCCAGGCAGAGGACTCAAGAAGACAGACTATGTGACAGGCCAAATAAGCCTCCAAAGGTGTCCTCGTTCTAAACCCTGTGAATATGTGTCCTAGCGTGGCAAAAAAGACTTTGTGGGTGAGATTATGTTACGGATCTTGGGATGGAGAGATTCTCTAGGTGGAACCAAAATGTCATCACAAGTTTCTAAGAGGCAGAGGGGAGATCTTCCCAGAGGGGTAGAAGGATCCGTGACCACAGAGGAGATGGTAGTGATATAAGCCAGCAAAAACTGCAAGACCCAAGGGACAGCTTCACCCCAAGAAGGTTCGGAAGGAACCAACCCTGCTGACACCTTGGTTTTATCTCCATGAGACTCAGTTTGGATTTTTGGACTCCAGAACTTTATGAGAATACGTCTGTGCTCTTTTAAGCCTCTGTTTAAATTCAAAACCTGCTCCCTAGGGAGGCTCCATCTCCTTGACTTTTCCAACTTCTAGAGCCACAGCCCTTTCCTCTTGGCCCCTTCCTCCACCTTCAAAACCGAGGGTGTAGCGTCTTCTCTCTCCGACTCTGCTTTCATCTGCTTCTCTGTCCTGTGGCCTTTTCTGTGTTCAAATATCCCTCTGCTCCCCTTTTATAAGGATGCTTGTGGTTACATTTAGGGCCACCCGGAACACCGAGGATAAGCTACCCGACTCAAAATGCTTAATTTAATCACATGGGCAAAGTCCTTTGTGCTGTAGAAATAAACATTCACTGGTTTCAGGGATTAGGACCCGCATATTTTAGGGGGTCATTATTCAGCCTAGCGCGGACGGTGAGTCAGACTGAGCAGCACCGTTCATGGCGGGGCACGGGCGCCACAAGGCGGTGGAATGCTGACAAGACAGTGCCACCAGGAGATGATAGGTTTGCTTTTCGCTCCACGTTATGCTGCCTCTAGGGTCCTTCATCGCCACTCGTGACTTCCAGATGAGGAGCCTGGGCTCAGAGAGGCAAAGACACACCTATTCAAGGCCACCAAGTGCGGATGTGCAGGGCACTGTTTTTTCTCTTTTGGTATCGATATACAATTACATGGGCAATTACATGGTTACTAGATTCCCCCCATTATCAAGTCCCCTCCACCTACCCCATTACAGTCACTGTCCATCAGCGTAGTAAGATGCTATGGAGTCACTGCTTGTCTTCTCTGTGCAGGGCACTGTTTTAATCGGGAAAACCCTAAGATTTGCAGGCCAAGCAGAGGGAAGGCAAAAGTAGTTTTCCTGCATAGGGAGCGGTAAACAAGCCTAGATTGTGCCTGCTGGGAATTTGTGAGAAAGGCAAATTCCCATCCACTTCAAATCTCCCATCCAAGACTTGCTGAATCAGAAATTCTCAGACGTGGGGACTGTTAATCAGTTTCAAAAAACCATACTGGGTATTCTGATACACACTCAAGTTCAAGGACCACTGGGCTGAGTCACAGAACAAAATAAAAGGAACCTGGGTGCATAACCTCAGCAGGCAGGGCGGTCCTGCCCCACCTCCCAGCTTGAAAATTTACGTGAGAAAATCAGTCTTCTTAAAGCCTCTTTGGCCTTTGTTAAATCATATTAAACAAGATGTTTTAATATGCCCCTTGATTCTCTTATGAATTAAAAATTTTAGGTGTCTACCTCACACCCAGGATGGCTACTTTAAAAAAGGAGATGTTGGGAGATTGGTGCAAAATTGGAACCCTGGTACACGATAGATGGGAATATTTTATGGTGCAACTGCTATAGAAAAGTTTATTGCTTCCTCAAAAAATTACTTTATGACCCAGCAATTCCACTTCTGGATGAACCTTAAGGACTTGGAACAGTATCTCATTTAAGTGGAATCATACACTGGCTTTTTGTGACTGGCATATTTCACTTAACATAATATCCTCAAAGTTCATCCATGTTCTAGCATGTGGCAGAATTTCCTTCCTTTGTAAGACTGCATCATATTCCACCGTATGCCTATGCCCAGCCTCCCTGGCAGTTAGGAATACCCATGTAACATAGCTCTAGACAGAGATGAAGCAGAAATCAGAGTTAGCTAGGGAAGTTTTGACCTCTTCCTTTGAAGGCATATATAGTACCTGGAGCTATGGCTTCCATCTTGTGACCATAAGGGAAAGACCCAGAGAATCAGAGAGAACTCAGCCAGCAGCCTCCTCCTCTAGATTCGTGTGAGAAAAAATAGCTTATATGTATGCCACCCATGGCCAGGTCTGCTGTAACTTGCAGCCCAGAGCACTTATAACCAATACACTTGGTCAAGTTACATAACATCTATCTTCCCAGCCAGAATATAGGTTCCATGGTGGCAGAAAAGATGACTTGGTTCACCACTGTGTGCCCAGCCCTTCCCCTCCCAGCCAATGCCTGGCAGAGACAGTGGATGGAATGCATGGTTGAAGTTCTTCATCCAAAATCTAGTATCTCCCTTTTGTATTGACCAAATCATGCAAAGTACTTTAAATAGTGCTTGGCACGTGGTAAGCCCTCAACCAATAGATTTAGGGGACGATCTCTGCCAAGGCTACCAGGCCCATCTTGCACTTACCTCCCAACTTCACCTGGGAGGTTTTCAACTGACAGTGGGTGGCTCCTCAGCACAGGGCACCCCCTAATTCTTACTGCAGCACCTGCTCTTGTTTTGGTGGTATCCTTTTTGGTGTGTGTGACAAGGACCACAAGGAGCCAGTGCCTTTGGTTAATCTTTCAATGTCTATGTAAGCAATAGGAGGGCTGAATCAATCAGCCCCGTCCTGGCCTTGACCATAAATATTATGCATTGTTTCTATTACTACCATTACTGTCTTTGGCCTAAGACTGCCATCTCCCCAATTTCTCTAAAAGACAAGACACACAGACCAGAAGAAGTTCTTCATTTTATTTCTGCTCACGACCTCCAAAAGGATCAGTCCCTGCCCCCCCTCACCTAGATGAGCCCCTGCCCCAACACCTTCACGAACGCTGATTTCCTCCCAGAGCTAAAATGAACACCCAGTCACCCCCTATGGCCATCCCCCACCCTGCCTGCTTCCCCAGCTCCCCGCATAGCCACCTGCTCTGTAAACTTGGCCACCTTTTGGCTGCCTGCCCAATAGCTCCCCAAGGCCACCTGGCTTGTTTCACTTATGTTGTTATACGGGTGCCATTCCTAAAACCCTCCCTGACCTAGTTCCCCGACAGCCCTCCTGTCCTCACTTGCCTAGTCATTCTGCGGAGCTTCCCGGCCGCACTTCCCTGCTCTGAGACCAGTCCGCAAGCTCGCCCGCTCCCTCAAGTCCCTGGGGCCTCCATCCCTCGATGTTACAAGTGAACTGTAGATGCTAAGGCCGAACATCCCACGAGGTTAGGGAGTGAGGAGGGCAGCGGACTCAGAAGTGGGCAAGAGGGGAGACGAGAGGCAGGCAGAGAAAGACAGGGGGTGTGTGAGAGAGAGAGAGGAGAAAGGAACGGAGAATTTTGGAAGGAAGGCGGAGGCGGGGGAATGATGGAGGGCCCCTCCCACCTCAGCCCCAGAAACCAGAGGGAGCCTCGGCCTGCTAGCTGCTGCGGGTCCTCTGGCTTCGCGCCTTGTACACTTCGATGAGCAGATCCTTGACGTACTGGATCTCCCGCTCCACCGACTCCGCCCTCTCCCTCAGCTCCCGGTTGCGCGCCTCCAGCCCCTGGCACTCGCCCTCCAGGGCCTCGCCCTCTGCCCGCTTCCTCTGGCGGTACCTCAGAGCCGCTGACTTGTTCTGGTCTCTCTTCTTTTGCTTGCGGTCCCCGCGGGTGGTGGCAGGATTGGGGTAGGGGGCTGGCCGAGAGGGCTGAGGTGGAGGAGGGGGCTGCTGGGGCGGGGGCAGGGGTGCCAACCCCGAGTCCCCCTGCCCGGCCTCGCTGCGGCAGTAAATGGCCAGCAAGTCAAGGGTATCCAGGGCAGGGGACTGGGGGAGGTCAAAGGAAGGGAGGGGGAGCGGGAGGGGAGGTGCCGGTGGCGGTGGCTGCGGCGGTGGAGAGGATGGTGGGAGGAGCGGGGCATCGAGGAAAAAGTCTTCCATCTGCTCCAGCTCCTTCTTGAGGAGGGAGGCCATGGCTTCCAGGTCAGGTGGGGGTGGGGAAGGTGGGGGGAGGGCACCTGGGGGCAAGGGGGCCTCTAGAGGGAGGAGGGCTGTAAAGTCGACCCGCTCAGTCATCCAATCAGAGAAGCCGTCACCTGGAGGATGGGAGGCGGACATAAGTCTCCTTGAGTTTGCAGTCCTCCACCACTCGGGTGCTCATTCCCATCTGCCTTATTCATCCCATTCATTGAGTAAAACCACCAACCAGCCAGTCAACCAACGGGTGAATCATGTTAACCAGTTTGCAGCCCAACAAACCTGCCAACCAACCAACCAGTCAAACATCTAACCAATTAACCAATCAACTAACCAGCCAACCAACCACACAACTAAATGAATCAATCAACCAATGAACCTATTAACTAACCACTCAGTTTAACAGTCAACCAACCAAGGACAAAAACAGCAGAACAGTCAACCAGCCATTTCAACCATTACGGCATCCTCTGTACTGATGACATCTGTGGTTTCTCTGATCTACTTGCATACTTATTCATAAAAGGCAAACTAGATCATACCTACACAACACATGCTGCCTCACCTGTACTCATTAAATACTGAAAACCCACTCTTCCCCAAGCATTTGGGATGCACTAATGAATAAATTAATTCCTGCCTCAGGGCTCTGCATTCACTGTTGCCTCCACCTGAGAAGCTCTTCCTGGGTCTGTTCATGGCTCATTTCTTCCCGTCCTTTGGGCATCAGCCAAAATGTTATCTACTTGGAGAGGGTTTTCCTGGCTACCCTCTCTAAACTGGGTCCCTTTGTCATTTTTTAGCTCAGCTCCTATGTGTTTTTCACTTATCCCAACACATCTTCATTTAATTTGTCTCATCTGTCTCCCCAGTAGAGTGTGAGTCCCAGGAGCACGCGGCCCATGTCAGTCTTGCTCCTAGCTGAAGTATCCCCATCACCTACGACAGTGCCTGGCATGTTATAGGCAATCAACATTTATCAAATGAATGAATGATTTCTTCTTCCTTCTCCCCTGCCGGCCCACACCCCAGCTCACCCCTCACAGTTCTCCACCTCCCTTACCTGCCAGAGGCTCTCCCCCCCCTGGAAGCCCGCCCTCCAGGGCTCCCCCAAGGACCTCAAAGGGACCCAGGGGGGCAGGGGCCAGGGGGAGTTTCCCATAGTCTACGAGCCAGCCCAGCCCGCTAGCTGGGAGCAGGGCCCTGTCCAGCTCCAGCCCCAGGGTCGCCAGGAGTGACATGGCTGCAGCACAGGCGCCGGGCACCGATGGCAGTGAAGGAGGCGGCACCAGCAGCAGGGAGGAGGCTCTGCAGGTTGCTCAGCTGGGCAGAGGCAGGCACCGAGGCGAAAGTGGAGGACCTACACGTGTGAGACAAAAGTGGGTGGGGTCAGGGGCCAGCCTCACCCACCTCCAAAGCCATAGGGAGACCAGCCCGCACCCCCGACGTCCCGGGAGTCCTCCCTCCACTTCCAACTGGGTTTGGGGCTACGCCTCGCCCTCTCAGAATTCTAAATCTAACCTTTCTTTTCCCAAATCTCTGAGTCCCACCCAGTCCCAAGGGAATTCTCTTCAAGCCAGATTTACTTCTCTTCCAATTCCCCAAACCCCAATCCTTCCAATGGTCTTTTAGGGGAATTTCCTTAAATCCTTCCCACCCATCCCATAATATTCCCATTCATTAAAAACAAAACAAAACACCTCAGTCCCAAGGAAATTTTCTCCCACCCACGCCATTTCCTCTGAAATGAAACCCGTCCCTGGGTTGCATCTTAAATCAGTTCCCAAGACAATTCTCCCTTCCCCGCCCCTTCAACTACTAGCCACTCAAATTCCACTCTCCCGTTTAAAAAAATTTTTTTTCTCCAGTTTGAAATTTGCGGTGACCCCACCCCACCCCCGTCTCTCCAAGTCCCGCCCCTCACTGTTTACCTCAGCTCCACCCCTAGTCTATGATTCCCCAGAGGCCCCACCTTTCTTTGATTGAAACCCCACCCCTCAGCGAGCGGTTCGCTTAGCACCGCCCCTTCCCACAAGGGATCCCCACCCCACCCCTAAGCCCCACCCTCCGCGATGACTGATTCTAGCTCCTCCCTCTTCTCAAAGGTTGCTTCTAAGCCCCGCCTTCCACCCTGTCAGTCTACACCAGCCCCGGCCCCAGCAGATGCTTGAATGAAGGGGAGGGAAGCTGTGCTGGGCTCCTGAAGAAGACGCAGCCGGAAGAGTGGAGGGAGTCAACAGAGAACCACTCCGCGCCCCCGACCCTTCCACACGCGGATCTCTCGTTGAGGGCCAAAGCGCATGCTCCGTCGCCGGCGCGGTGCAGTAGTTCTCGTGCCTCCGCTCTTCTGGGGGTGAGTACGCATGTGCGGCTTCTTACAGCCCGCCCGTCACATCACACATAAATACGTACTCAGGTGAGCCGATGCGCCCTAGTAGCCACGCGTGGTCAGAATCGTTCAGGGCGGGGGGGTGGGAGGAAACACCCCCCCCCCTCCTGTGGGCTAGTGCGCCGGCGCAACCGCACACGGTCAGTCTTTAAGCTCTTAACGCACTCTTCCCCGCCCACCCCTCCCCCACAGCCTGCTGAGTGCGCATGGTCGGTCGCGCGCCCCCCGGGCCGTCTTCCCTCTTCTGCGCCTGCGCGACCGTGATTCCTCACTCTCGACTACTGCCTTCCCCAGACCTAGTAGACAGGGCCGTGCGCTTCGAAAGGGCGGGAAAGGCGGTTGGAGAGGGAGAGGTGAGCGGTTACTCACTCCATAGCTGTGGAAAGGAGAGGCGGCGGCGGCCTGAACTGAAGAAAGAAGGCGAGAGCGGGAGAGCGCAGGCGTGGTGAGCGCAGAGACGGGCCGGGGACACGGAGGGGTGGCAGCTACAGAGCCATGGTCGGGGCTTCGCGGGCGCAGGCGGCAGCGCGGTAACGTGAGGAGAGAGTGTGATCTGAGGATGGGGAGTGAGGTGGCCCCGGGGGCTGGGGACATATATATCGGGCGCGGCGCGGCCTGCCCGGATCCTTCCGCGCCCCGCCCCGGGTGGCGCCAACCGGGAGGCGGGCCCGGCCCCCTCCTCCCCGAGATCCTGCGCCCCCATCTTGCCGGCCTCGGGAGTCCGGCGCCTCCTGCCTCTGACCCGGAGCTCCAGCACCCCCCTCCCGCCGACCCCGGGCTTCCGGCCCTCCCCTCCTCTGGCTCGGGTCCGGTCTCCCCGCGCACTCGTTCTGGGAATTCGGTCCCTCCTCCCTGAGACCCGCCCCAGTTCGTTTCTCGTTACCTTTCCTCTGCCTCCCGAATTTCCGGCCCGCCACGCTCGTCTCTGCCGTCCCTGTCTGAGAACCCTTTTTGTGGGTTAGTCTGGCGTGAGTCAGTCACACCCCTGTCTTCTCAAATCACAAGCCTATGAGGGAGGCCTTGGGCAAATAAGTTTTGTGGCCTCGCAGATAGGGTACTATCTGTAAAATGAGGATGAACACCTCTACCTGGTGGGTGGTTTGTGAGTCGAGAAAGTGGATGACTGAAATCCCGAGTCCTGCTCATATATGCCAATTCAATGTATTTTATTATTAACAATTATTAGTAGGGACGCCCTCTCACCCCTTCTTCCCTCCTTGGCAAGACCCCCAGACACAGGACCAACAGCTGCTAATAGGTCATTTTCGTGTCTCCACTCTTCCAAGGGGTCAATTTCCAGCCGTCCTCACCCTCAGCCCCACCCCTGTGCAGGGGTGCAGGGAACTGCATCATCGCCACACTCTCTTTTCTCCATCCCCTGCCCACCTCCCCACAGGCCTTATCCTTAGTTCTCCTTTGAGGCCATTTGGTTCATTTTTCAGCCTCTCACCCTGACTTCCTTTCAGAGGGTCCTTCATCTCATTTTCCCCACACTGGGTCAGTCTTCCAGTCCTGCCCCAAATAGGGAGATTTACACTTCCATTTACTGAAAGACAGGGAGCTTCCTGGCCACCCTTCCCTGTGCAATGGGCCCTACGCCACCTCAAGTGGATGTAGGTCATTCCCCTGCTGCAGAAACCCTTCCCTTTTCCACCCTGCATTCTGAGGACGTTATGCCTGGTGTCCAACCTTATCACTTGTGTTGATTATGAAACTGAATGGAGATCTAAAGAAGTTAGGGGAACCTTGATCTTGAGAGTTATCTGGCAGTGAAGATACACAGGCTTCTGTTGCACGCAGGAAGTCCTTCTTGGGATCTGACCACCTTCCCTCAGAGCACTTACTACTAGTTCCACATTCTGTTAGTGTCTGGGCACTTACCCTATAGGGGCTACAGTGTTACCTAGGCAGCGTAGAGTAGCCAAGAGCACAGACTCTGGAGCCGAGGTGGGTTCAAACCCTGACTGCACCCCACTCTGTAGCTTACTGACAGTTTCTCTTTTTCCCTGTGCCTCAGTTTCCATTAAAGTATCAGAATAAATCATGGGGTTTAGTTAATAGAAATGTACCACTGTACGTGGCCATTTAGTAGTACCTGCTTCTTAGTCCTGTTAGGAGGATTAAATGAGTTAATGCAGACCAAGCACTTATACCAGTGCCTACATAAACACAGTAGGTGCTACATAAGGATTTTTGTTACTATTGAGGTGGATAAGTTTTATCTCCATGGCTAAGCAGCAAGTGCTTTAAAAGGTCCTCCACCTTTTAAGTGAAACTTACGGGCCAGCCTCCTTGTGCTTGCTGGTGTAGCTTTCTGAGTGATAGGGGGTGGGCCAGGCAGACTTCTGAGGGGCCAGTCACCCCCAGAGAATGAGTCTTCTCATGAAAAGACCTAGGTTATTTACGGGGATTAGGTATTTTTCTTCAAGTAAGCTTTTAATTTTGGAATGATTTTAGATTTACAGGAGGGTTGCAGAGACGGTAGAGTCTCCTTGTACCCCTTATCCAGTTCCCACATTGTTGGTATCTGGTTACTGTGATGCATTTGTTACAATTAAGGAACCAACGGCGCTGGTACATTTCTGTGAACTGAATTCCACACTTATCCCATGTCACCACTTGTCCTTTGTGACCTTGACACTTTTTGAAGAGTGCTGGTTGGGATTCTATGAAGTGTCCCTCAGTTTGGATTTGACTCATATTTTTTAATAACTGGAGGTGACTTCTGTCAGTATGGGAATCATGGTGCCGACTGTGTGTGCTGTGTGCTGAGAAGATACTGAGGTGGGCACTCTGGTCCCCCATATCAGCACTTGTCTTTTTTCTTTAGCTGTTGGATCCCACTCAGGTCAGCTCTGGTGCCAACTGACCCACCCAAATAACTTGACTCATTGCCGCTGAGTGGATGCCAGTGCACACACTTAGTTACCAAGCCTTTCCCCAAAGCGTTCTAGTTTACGTCGGTGGGTCATCAGCGGCTGCCTGTGAGCCTAGGGGTTGGTATCTTGAGCCCTGTCCTATTCCCACCTCTGACCCAGACCCATGGTGCCTCCAGGACTCAACACTATGGCCTGCGCAGCTTGCAAAGCCTTGGCAGGGTCCAGGTACCCTGAACTGGGGCTGGGAGCATGGGTGGGGCTGCTGGGGACTCTTTTTCAGTGCGGAGGACTCAGGCTTGGGGAGTGAGGTGGCCGTTGCAGGCAGGTTGCATCACCCTGGCTCTTTGATGAGGAGGGGGAGTACGGGGATTCTCTGGGGGCTGGTGCACCTGGCAGCGGTTGCTGGTTAGCAGAGCCCTGGAGCCCAGGATCTGGGAGAGGCCCCAGCACAGCAAGGGAGGGGACGCGGGGTGGGGAGAGCATCTGCCTGTGTAGGACCCTGGGAACCCGAGCCTCCATGCCAAGAACAGGCCTCAGATCACAGAGGCTAACCCACTTGTCTTGCAAGGGGCAGGACCAAAGCCCCAAAAAGTCAAAGGGCCTATGCACAATCACACTGCTAGTTAGAGCCTAGGCCTCCACAATACTGCATGGCTTCCAGTGTCCTACAGACCTAAGGAGAGACTGTCTTTTCTAAGATCCGTGGGGTCCCTGACCTCCCATCCAGGACATAGGCTGCTGAGAGGCCACCAAGCCTGGACCTTCACCTCAGGTTTACTGCTGCTCACAGTTGCCAAATTCTATTGATTCTGACCTGCCCTCACCTTCCTCTCCTGCCCTAGAGGAGGCCCTCCTCACCTGTACTATTGCAGCAACCCCTCACTGGTTTCTCAATCAAGGGAACAGCCTAGTGTGATGGAAAAGGCACTGAGTTTGCATCAGATGGACCCAGGTTCCAATTCTTAGTTCGCACTACTTAGGTCTGGCCGGGGATGCATACAAGGTCCTTACTCTGCCGGAGCCTCAGCTTCCTTTTGCAAAGTGGGTCAGATTGTGGACTCCGGAGATGACCTGCTGAGTTCACATCCCAGCTCCAACATTTCTGTGACTCTCAGCAAGTGGCGCCCTCTGTGACCCAGCTTCCTAATCCATAAAACAGGGATAAGAGGAATCACTTATTAGGGTTGTTGTGAGGAAACAGGTGTGAATGTAGAATCCCTGGAGCTGGTTTGGAGGCACCTGCGAGCATTCATTATTCTCAGGCCTGGGTGTTGGGAGGGTGATGTGAAATGGTGCAGGTGAAGTGCAGCACTTAGCTAGGAGTTCACCGTCTCTGTATGTTTTTCTTCCTCTTCCCACCCGCTTTGTGCTTTCATAGTTGCTGCATAGATGTCTGTGTATGTGGCTGTATCCCCCGTACTCACAGGGCATGGGTGGGATCCTCATTCCCAGAACCCATCCCCACAGCCCCCAGCCCTGGTGCTACTGCCTTAGTTCATTTTTGCATGACTTGCTCATGCACAGAGACTGGGGAATTCGATACTGTGATCCCTGAAGAGGCAGTAGGGCACATATCTGGGTCATGCAGGCCAGGGGGCAGAGGGGTTGGAGGTGGGCGTCCTGGCAAACAAGAGCGAGAAGGCCAAGGCCAGCACAGTTGGGGAAAGGGCAGTGCAGGGGCTGGGCACCCAGAGCACAGGTCTGCCACGTGGCCCAGCAGCTCAGAGTCCACAGAGCCCCTTCCCTGGCCTTGCTCTTGTCACATCTCTTCCCTCCAGAGCTCTCCACATCCACGCTGCTGGCTAGGCATCCTCAAGGTCGTCCGTCTTCCATACTTGTTTGCTGTGGCTGCTGTAACACTACCACATTAGTGACTTAACACAACATACACTTGTTCCCTGTCGTTTCTGAAGACCAGAAGTCTCTAGAGTATGGCCACGGAGCTGTGTTCCTTGTAGAGGTGCTGGGGGAGTCTGATTCCTTGCCTTTTCCAGCTTTTAAGGCTGCCCGCATTCCTCAACTCAGGGTCCTTTCCCCGCATCACTCCAGTCTCCGCCTCCACTGTCACGTCCCCTGTTCCCACTCTGATCTCCTGCCTCCCTCTTATAAAGACCCTTGGGAACATTGGGGCCTACTCAGATCCCAGGATGATGTATCCATCACAGGACCCTTAATTTAATCACATCTGTAGAGTCCCTTTTGCCACGTAGGGTAACATATTCACAGGTTCTGAAACTAGGATGCAGACATCTTTGGGAGCTGTTATCCAGCCCTTCACACCTCCCTCTCAGAGCCTCAGTTTTCCCAGCTAGGAAGTGAAGGGTAGGGCCAGCCCTGGGGAGTCTCTTCCCTGTGCCCGCAGGGAATGGCTATAGGAAAAGGACAGGCAAGCCTGAAGGTAACTGAAGACACGGTGTCCCAGAGCTCAGGACACTATCATTTACTGCCGTGTGACCGCCAGCAAGATACCACGTGCCCCCGTGTGCCACAGTGGCCTCATCAGTAAAGTGGGGGACAATAGCAGAAGGCCGTGGTGAGGACTGGAGAGATAATACTGAAAATGCCTAGAATAGGGCCTGGCTCAGCAATAAGACATCTCCGCAAACCCACAGGTCCAGTGTCAGGCAGGCTAACGAAGCCCCTGGTTCACCAGGCATAGGTACTACTAAGGTGACCCAAGCTGCCGGGCAGCGGTGCTGGCCTGGCAGGGCAGAGATGCTTGTTTCACAGAAGTTGTAAATCCATATTTTTCTGCAAGATCCAAGTTTTAAAAGGTTGGTGAGTGATTCAGAGAAACCCCGACAAACCATGAGTGGCTGCAGGCCCTCCCTGACCTTTGTAT